GAGACAAAGCTTCATCATCTCTGCCTCTAAAGACTTCCTGGTTATCTTTATTCCAAGGTGGATTTATTAATTCTGATATTTCATGAAATATTTAATAATTTTTGACAACACCACTATTCAAAAGCATTAGTTCTTCTTTTATTTGTTTTATTCATTGCATGCATAAGAAGCAATTGGAAATTACCACAGCTTAGATCGTGTGCACCTTACTCATTAAACTGATATCCTTGCTCTTTAGCAAGTTGGAGATGTCCTTGACAGTAGATTTTCCTACTATAACAAGGTTTTGGATTTTTTTTTAAACTTTGCTGCCATTGCCACTGCTTATGTATCCAAATAAAATGAAATCCTGGACACCTTCAGTCTTTTCTCCGTCTATCATGATATATTCCTATTGGTCTAATTGTAAAGATTTTTGTTTGCTTGATGTTGAAAAGTGATCTATATTGAAGGCTATAGTTTTTGATCTTTTGCAGCAAGTGATTAAAGTTTTCTTCACTTTCTACAAGCGAGATTATATCTTTTGCATAAGGCAGGTTGTTGATGATTCTCCATCCAATACATTTCTTCTTATAGACCATCATCTCATATAATTTGCTTAGTATGCAAATCATACAGGTATGGAATGAACAGGTATGAAAAAAGGATACAATCCTGACACACATACCTTTCTCGATCATAAACCATGTATTGTTCCCTTATTCTGTTTAGACAACTCTCTCTTGATCTATACATATTGTTATTGTTATGTGCCAGCGAGTCATCTGTGACTCATAGCAACCCTATGTACAACAGCTCTAAACCCTGCTCTGTCCCTTGCCAACCTTATTGTCTCTGACATACCTATCCCCGTTACTCCAGTCACTGAATCAGTCCATCTCATAGAGGGTCTTCCTCTCCTGCACTTTCCCTCCACCCTCCCAAGCATGACATCCCTCTCCAAGGACTGGTCCTGCCTTGCAGCATGTCCAGGGTATGTCAGACAGAGCTTCAGAATCCTTGCCTCCAAAGAGCAGCCTTGCTTCACCCTCTCTAGGATGAGCTTGTTTTTTCTCCTAGCAGTCCTTGGTATATTCTCTTCTCTAGCACCACAGCTCAAAGGCATCAACTCTCTATCATCCCTAGTTATTGTCCAGCTCTCTGATGCATAGCAAGTAATTACAAAGACCGTGGCCTGTATCAGGTACACCTTAGTCTCCAAAATTACATCATTGCTCCTCAGCACTTTGGAGAGGTTCCTAACAGCAGACTCTCCCAATGCAATTTGTCTTTTAAATTCCTGGATACTGGTGCCAAGAGTGTTGATTGTAGAGCCAAGCAAACTGAAGCTGTCAACAATCTCAATCTCT